CGAGAAGAACCTTGAAAGAATCCTATTTCAATTACATGAAAACTCTCATATCTTCAATGAAAAAGCGACAAATGTCAACCAATGAAATATGGAAATCTATAGGCCGACTTAAAGGACAAAAATACTCAAGAATCTCTCGGGTGCTAATAAATTCCGCAGATGAATCCATCACTGACGCTTCGGAAAAATCTTCTCGCAAAATCCTTCGCAGACAACTCGAGCAATTCCAACTACCACCCAGATTTCTTAGCTTTCAAATCCCTTCAAGAACAACAGTTAAGCTCAATAAGAGAAGACGAAGAAGAAGATCAGTCGCACGACTACCACGGTAACGATAAAGTGCTAGATCAAAAAATTACCATTGGTATAAACGCCTATTTCAGCATGGATGAACTCAACTTCGCTTTGTTATTATCGAAAAATTCAAGCCCTGGTCCAGATGGTATCCCAAGTATCTTAATAAAAAATCTGAGTACGAACAGCCTTCAATACATTCTAAAAATATATAATTTAATATGGAACTCTCAATCCTTTCCTCAATGTTGGAGGCTGGCTACAGTGGTCCTTATTCCTAAACCAGGAAAAGATCACGCGAAACCCTCGAACTATCGCCCGATAGCTCTGACATGCAACCTCGGAAAATTATTGGAGAAAATGGTGAATCGATGACTGAAATGGGCCCTCGACGAAGAATGGTTCTCAAACCACCAAAGTGGATTCAGACAATTTCGATCCACGACAGATCATCTTTCCAAACTACACAACGTCATCTGTAATGCCTTCGCAAATGATCTCCACGTGATAATGATATCGATGGATATTGAAGAAGCCTACGAAATGGTCTGGAGAGCAAGGATCATACACATTATCAAAAAACTTGGATTCCACGGTAATCTGGTAGAATATATAAAAAACTTTCTTAAGAACAGAAAGATTCAAGGAAGAGTAGGACAACAGCTCTCCAACGAAATAGAAATAGAAAACGGAGTCCCACAAGGTTCCGTGATCAGTGTTACCCTATTTCTAATCGCCATAAATGACATACTTTCGAAAATCCAAGTCCCAGTCAAGAAATTCCTCTTCGCCGATGATTTGACGCCTTTATGCTCAGGAAAAGATTTGAAAAATACTCTGAAAATCCTCCAAGGTAATCTGAACAATTTAGTTTCATGGTGTAAAGAATCAGGATTCAAATTCTCCGCACCAAAGTCTCAATTCATAATAAGGAGTAAATCCAAGAGCATTGATACCTCCAATGTCCGACTACAATTAGAAAATGTCGAACTCCTTCAAACCCAATCCATGAAAATACTGGGATTGACATTCGATCCTTCTCTCTCTTGGAATGACCATATAGGAAAACTGAAAGCTGAGTGTCATCAAAGGATCCATGTTATAAAAGTCCTAGCTTCTCTCTTTCTATCAAGACTACGAATCGGACATACGGGAATAACCCACGAACATCTCTTCTCCAAGAACGCAAAGCCCATCTGTGAAGTGTGTAAAGTGCCGATCTCAGTAGAACATTTCCTTGTGTCATGCTCTAAATATGAAAGAATCCGAATAAAAACGAAACTTCCGAATAACTTGAAAGACTGTTTGAATGGTGACAACTGCTATAAAAAAATTGAAAAATTCCTGAAAGAAACTAAACTGTTAAATAAGATATAAATTGCTCACTATACGTATACATCGACATTTATATGTCTATGTATTCAGCCATCTATTTTTATTTTTATTTTCTATTTTTTTGGTAAATAGTCGCTAATGACCACGATGTCGATGCGACTTGAAATAAAAAAAAAAAAAAAAGAATCACGTAGTACCGCCCTTATATAGGACCTATATTATAAGTGATAATATGGAGGGTTGGGGGTTCTCTTGTCTGCCTCCCTCTTGCACGTATTGTATTGAAGAGAGAGGTAGATAGCCCTAGCTATAGACTGACAACATTGTATTGGTAGAATTTATCCTCTAAAAGACTAAAAATTGTCACGCATGAGATTAGTTTGTAATGCGCACGATGAATAAAATTTATTTAACTTAGGTGAATAAGAATTTTTGTTATGACAGTATAATAATTAACTTTAAATTAATTAATTAAAATTAAATAAACTTAAAATTAAATTTATTAATTTTTATATGATAAATTTTTAACTGTATGGGTGAAATTATCCTACGGGAGGGAAATATTTATGGTACTTTTAATATAATTTATTATTTTCAAGCAATGATTGCGAAGCGTAAGCATAAAGCTTCCTGAGAAGTGAGTCATGTAAATCCTCTAGATTGAAGACGATTTATACTGAAATATTTTTTTCGGGAAACTTTTTTTGCTTTACTCTTCATCCTCGGGAGTCTAGAGGACTGACTGTAAAGCATTCATTTTCTAGCAACTTTTCTGGGAAAACCAATGTCAATAATTTTTTTCAAGAGTAAATCCTTCTAGAGTTTCTCCTTGCAAAACTTGAGTGATTCTCAACATGAATAAACATGAATAACTTACTATTTGCAATAGGTCACTCTACAAAAGGTTTACTATTCAAGTGGCTCATTGACACTGGTTTTTTTATTGATTATTTGAATAAAAAATGCTCTATTGTTACTAATTGCAGAAAGTAAATTATTCTCAACGTAATTTATGTTCATTCGTCTTGATTTATGTTCAGAATCATTCATGTTTTGCAATGAGTTAGTGTAGAGCATTTACTCTTGAAATAGAATATAACTAGTGGTTTTTTCTTGAATATTTAGCAGGACAAATTCTCTGCAGCACCTTATTGCAGAATGTGGATTATTCTCTGCATGATTCATGTTTATTTAAGTTAAATCATGTTGAGGAGATCCATGTTCATTCATATTGAGAATAACCCAGGTTTTGCAATGAGGAACTCTAGAGGATTTACTCTGGAAAGATACTATTGACACTGGTTTCTTCAAGAAAAGTTGCTAAAAAATAAGTGCATTATAGTCAATCCTCTAGACCCTACAGAAGGTATTGTAAAGTGAAAAAAGTTGCAAGAAAAATGCTTTAGATTCAATCGTCTACAGTGTAAAAGATTAACTCTGAAGCAATAATTTTCTACCAACTTTCCTAGAAACAACCAATATTAATAATATATTGCAAGAGTAAATCCTCTAAAGATCCTCATTCTAAAACATGAATAGTCCTAAAAAGAAGATGCCATGTGCAACTTTTATGGTAAATTTTTTAGAATAACCCATTGTAAATAGTGAGTTATTTTTAACGTGATTAATATTTATTCATGTTGATTCATGTAAACAATAACCCATGTTTCGCAATCAGGTACTCTAGCAAAGTTACTCTTGAAATATAATATTGACAAAGGTTTTTTTTTGGAAAAGTTGCCAGAAAAAAATATTTGAGAGTAAATCCTCTAGAGGATCTACTGTAAAGCATTTATTTCTTGCAAATGTATTAGCAAAAACCGGTGTCAATAATATATTTCGAGAGTAAATTGTGTACAGGATTTACTACACTAGAGTCTAGAGGATCTACTGTAAAGCATTTATTTCTTGCAAATGTATTAGCAAAAACCGGTGTCACTAATATATTTCGAGAGTAAATCCTGTACAGGATTATTGGAAAACATGGATTATTGTCTACATAAAACACCTTGAATAAACATCAATCACGTTGAGAATGACTCACTATTTGCAACGAGCTACTTACTCTAGAAGATTTATCATAAAAATTGCACATAGCATACTCTTTTTAAGACTATTGATGTTTTTGCATACTTTTTATCTTGAATAGCTGCCAAGAAAATGCTGTAGAGTTGCTCATTGAAAAAAGTGAGTTATTCTCAACATCATCCTTGTTTATTCATGTTGGGAATAACCCCCTTTTTGCAATAAATGCCTCAATATGAATTTTTGTGCTAATGATTTTTTCATGGAATCATGTCCGTGCAACAAAAAATTCGAAAAAAAACTATCAATAAAAAAATGCAATAGAATTTCCTCGAGAACAAAATGGAAAAATAAAATGAAATAAAATAAAATCATTGACAGAATAAATTAGTATAAATAAACTTACCGTTTAGGCCCCCGTTTTCGTTTCTTCATCGATAAAAGTAGTCGTCCTTTTTCACTCGGATTATTTTTTCTTTTTCGCGTCATTTTCTAAAGTTTCGACTTGCACAAACACTCACTTTCACTCGCGATTACACCAAAAAAACTGCAGCCGGCATACTAAAATCCACGAAGAAGCGAATTCGAGATTTGCCGGCGCTAGTTGCCAAAAATCAGAATCGATTATAGTTCTTTCGATTCGATTATAGATCAGATATGGCGCATCAATTCCCATGAAAGTGTCATGCGGACCGCTCATCGCTCCCCCTAAATTTATGAGATGACACCCACAAGATCCCCGGTAACCGAAATGGCAGGTAGGTTATGATTTTATAATTGAATTGACTGTGTTCGCAAAAATGTTTCAAAAAATGAAGGGCAATTTGCTGCTTCAAGTTAATTTATCAAACATATACTCTTCAAGTTACACATTGATCTTTGTTTATCCATAAATGTTTGTCAACGAAAAAAACAGTAGAGTACCGAAAACAGTGAATTGTTCTCA